GGGGGGGGCGACTTAAAGGACACGAGGGTGGGACCTCCTTGCTCAACAAGACAGAACAGCCTGAGAGCTTGCTGAGCAGCCCCAGGGGGTCACGGCCCTGTGGAGATACCCTCGCTGAGCCAAGCCAGCACTGTGGGGTGGGGGGCTGGGTCCCTGCTCTCCTAGACACCACTTCCCATGAGGTCTGGAGACGCTCTGGCCTTTTAGGAGAGAAGAGTACTCCATGTATTGTGGGTGTTGGTGGCCCCTGCCGGTCTCCTGTGTGACAGTCTGTTCCCACCAGACTAGGGCCCCCAGGAAGGAGCGGGCGTCTCCCTCATTGGACAGGCCCCAGGCTGGCCCCTTCACACTCTAACCAGGGTGGGTGAGTGGCCCTGATGGAGCCTCAGAAATCCCGGGGTCCCCAGGGCAGCCCCATCTGCAGAGGCGAGGGTGCGTGGAACACTGGCCTTGTTTAGGAGCAGAAATGAGGGCAGCGCCGTTGTCAGACGTGAAGAAAACAAACGTGTTCTCTGTGATCCTCAGGTCCCGAAGATGCCTCAGGATTTTCCCAACACTGTCGTCGATCTCCCGGACAGCGTCCCCGTACCTTGGGGAGAAAGGGCGTCAGTGAGCAGTGAAGTCACGACTTCGGGAATGGACAACACAACGGACTGGCTGAATTCAAAGAGGGGACAAAAAGTCCAGTTCCCAGAGCTAACCCAGGACAGAACCAACCACACCACTACAACCCTCCTCCCACGAAGGCCGGGCTCATGGACAGCTTCGGGGAAGCAGGGGGGCTGCTGTCTCTTTCCGTGAGGGGTAACTGAAGACATAATGGCACTGAGCGCCCCGTCCCCGGAGGTAATCAAGCACGGCTGAACCCTCCAGGTGGGAGTCCATGTCTCTACAACCAAGGACTCACCGCCCTCGCCGGCTGGTGCCCAAGAAGGGCCGAGAAGCATAAACAGGTGCGTGAGTGGCATCGATGGCCCAGTAGAGGAAGAAGGGGCGCTGAGCCGCCTGCTGCCTCTTCATGAAGTCCAGAGCTTCCTGAGGAGAAGACGCCACCTTTGTGTGCCCGGAGGCCAGCCTCCCTCATGCGGGGCCTACCCAGCCCACGCTTCCATTACCTGCAAGTACACCTGCGTGAGGTTGGCTTCCCCAGTCTTCAGATTGATTGGAAATTCCTCATAATATCTGAAAATAACATAGACCCAGACAAAAATCAGACCTTAGAAGACCAAGAAAACCTCCTTTTCTGTGATTTCATAGGCAAAGTTACGGGCCTCGTTCACAAGAAAGACGAAACGCGAATGTGTGTGTAAATGTCACTGAAGCTGGCCCACGGCAGCCCCCCCATCTGGGAGGAGCAACGTGTGAGGACAGGGAAGCTGGCAGAGGCGGGTGTGCGGTCACCCAGGGCCGGGGGCAGCTCACAGGGCGTAGGCGCTCTAAGCTGGCCAAGTCTGTGCGGCGCCGTGAGCATGCCAGGGAGCCCCGAACCACGCTTCCAACGGGGCGCGTTCTCTCTCCATGAGACTGCTATGAAAATGCAAGGGCCTGACCCCGCTTTCTGGCCCATGATGCACAGCAATAACTTCCACCAAGGGGCGCCTGGGTGGCTCGGTCGTTAAGCATCTGCCTTCGGCTCAGGTCATGGTCCCAGGGTCCTGGGATCGAGCCCCGGTCCGGGCTCCCTGCTTGGCGGGAAGCCTGCTTCTCCCTCTCTCACTCCCCCGCTTGTGTTCCCTCTCTCGCTATGTCTCTGTCAAGTAACTAAAATCTTAAAAAAAAAAAAAAAACCACAAAAAACTTCCACCAAAAATGTGAAATACAAAAGGAAGGAAGGAGGAAAGGAAAATCAAGCCACACGAATCTGGAGACAGACCGGGGCTGACCCCAGCGGGGCCACGCTGCAGGCTCTGTGAAGGCAGGCCCGCAGCCAGTCGGGCGCACGGGAGCCACTTGGCTCAGACAGCAGAGTGCTCCTGGCAGGCTCCTGAGGAAGGGGGCAGCCCCGTGGGCCCCTAGCACGTGGCCCACAGACCAGCCTGGTGCAAACGGCCTCGAAGCCAGAGCCCAGGGCCGCTCACCGGCTTCAGGAACCAAACCTCAGAAGCTGAATGAACATGGTGCTGTGTGAACACGCCTTGTTCAGGGGAGGGTCTCGGTCTCATCGTATTGCTAACCTTTTCAAGGTTAAAGCCCCTGCAGATGTGGCTTAAGCAGCAACCCTAAGCCGCGGGTCCTATAAACCGCGGGCAGAGCCACCAGCCGACAAAGCCAAGCGCTGGTGTGCTGGGACACCAACGCTGGGAGCAGGTGGTTCCAGAACCTCCGTCCCGCTCCTAGAGCAGCACCAGAGGGCGGGGCTGGGCTCTGCTGTCTTCAGGGTGGGGAGGGAAGGGACCCGTTACCTGCCGACCATCTCCCAGTCCCTGTACACAGGGATGTTGGGCCTGGCCCTGTTGTCATAAGGTCCAAAGTGACAGTTGGGGGATCCAAACCACTCGTCGAATCCATGCTTCAGGGGGTGGAACTGAGGCCTGTGGCCCAGATGCCTAGAAACAGGAACCCAGGACACTTTAGGGACCCCTGCTCAGAGGTACCCCAAAGTCCTGAGCACGGACAACTCCTCGCCTTCACAGAACATTTCAGGGAGCAAGTGTCCCTCCCGGGCCCTACGTGTGCTGAGCCCCAGGCACCCCGAGACCTCTTCCTCCAGGCAGGCACCAGGACCCCACTCACCCCCGTCGAAGTTGAGGGCCCTGGCCACACAGAGTGTCCAGGCACAGAGGAGCACTCAAGCATCCCTCCGGAATGCTGGGAGGGGCTCTGGGAAGACACATGGTGAGCTATCTCACACCCACCAGAACCCATCCAGAACTCTGAATGCAGCCCCATCTCCATGCTCTGCTTGCTTCCTTTTTTCATTAGTCAGGACAGTTCTGTGGGTTCGGCTTTCTCTGAGATTGTGAGGAAGGAAATGTTCCAGGGAGGTAGTTACCAACCTCTCGGGATAAGGTCTTTAAGAGCCTCTTCTCCCAGTTATGGATAATCACGCCCCAAAAGATGGATGGGGGCCCTGGGTGAGCTGACCGCCCCAGCCTGGCCTCATCACAGACGGGGACAGCGCCAGTGACCCAGCACGCCGGCCCTGCATGGGGATGGGCGGGCCTGCAGGATGACAATGGCCATGCTCCCCAGCCCACGCTCTCTGTACTGCGGGCATCAGAAGCCCAGCACTCCCACCCCTCACAACCCTCCCTTTGGCAGTTCTGCCAATAGGAGGTGCCCATGGGAGGGGCCAGCAGTCCCTGAGCACAGACCCGTCTGCCTTTCAGAACACACAGTGCAGGTAGACGGGGGTTTTCCACTCCGGCCACGGGCTCTTCGGTAGCACGGCAACCCCACTGGGGCAGTGGGCTCACCCCTGTGTCTCACGGCCACACAAGCTTGAAAGCAGAGTCTCCCTGTTCTGCTGCCTCTGGGGAGGCCTTGGAGCAGGTAGCCAGAGGGCCCACCTGCCTGCTCAGAGGTGCTCCAGTGGCTCGTGTGGATCCCCGGGCGCTGGTCACTCGGTCAAGGAGGGTGCGGTGTGGTGTAGTGGGGGAGGGTGGGCCACACGGGGCCAGAACCGAGGTGCCCAGCGACAGAGTCTAAGAAAGATGCCAGTAGGTGCGTCTCTTGGGGCCTCGGCTGCCACGGCTGGTTCTCAGACGCTCTGCCTCCCGACTGCCACGAGGCCAACGCCGGCCTCTGGCCTCTGCAACTCCTCCGCCAGGGGCAGGAGCATCGGCTCTGCTGGGACTTCTCTCTCTGCAGATACCTGTCAGCTCTGCGCTTTGCACTTCCTCTCCGCGTCTCGTGTCTGCCCGGGCTTGCTGCTCCAGTGTGGTCATGTCTCCCCAGCCACGCCAGCACCGGCTGGGAGGGGTCACACTGGCTGAGCGTGGCATTCCAGCACACCCACATGCACCAGCTCGGATGGCCTCTGCTTAACACAAACAGCCGACCGAGGTCTTGCTTATGCTAAGCCGTCAACTCAGAACAGCAGCGGGGCCAGCGCTGCCCTCAGGCGAGCGGGAGCGGGCAGCCGGCTGCGGCCCCTGGGACCAGGGCAGCCGGAGCGGGCTCCACCCAGCCCCAAAGCTCCCAAGCCCAGAAGTCTGGCTCTGTGGCGCTGGGCTGGGAGGAAGAAGGTCAGGAAAGTCCACAGGCCTGTGATGGGACCCCGCCGAGACTGGGACCCCCACCCTGGAAGCCTGCTGGACCCAGGGCAGAGCTGCCAGGCCAGGCATCACAGGGCCCTTCCCTTCCGTGGGCTCCACCCAGGCACGGCCCTGGCTGGCCTCGTGCCCGGCCTCTGCCAGTCTCCCGGGGCTTTCCGGGCATTGCCCGGAACTGTGCAGGCAACAAGCACCCCCTCAGCTCTGCTTGGCCGCCACCACCTCGTCCGAGCACTGCTCGGCAGGACGGCTCCCAGCGAGACTCGGGAGCGAGGAAGCATTCGTTAGGCGGCTCCTGGATCACCAGGATTCTCTAACGATTAGACTACTGTTCTGGTTTCCGTGGACCTCCCACGGCTGTGACTACTGTGTTGTGCACGGGACGCGGCCAGGGCGCTCATCCTCGAGAAGGCAGTGCCAGCAAGCTGCGGAGAGGCTGAGGGCAGAGGGGCCACGGTGCAGGGAAGGAGGCGCAAGGAGGGCTGGACATCAGAAAAGGCTCCCCGGAGACGGTGGGCTTGCTCTCTTCCAAGAGCCCCACAGCTCGGGAAAGGGAGGCGAGAACGTGTGACCTTCACATCTTCCATCCGCGGCTGCACATCTGGGGATCCCCATTGAACCTGCTCATCGCGGCATGCACAGCACGCACGCGCACCCCGTGGCCTCTGTGGTCACGACTGCAGGTCCGACGATCCCACACCAAGCGACTGTCCTTCACCTCCCGGCTGCTTCTCCGCTTCCCCACCAGACAGAGCCCCTGCGCTCGCCGGCCGGCTGTGCACGCCCCGCAGGAGCGTCAGGACTCACCACTTGCCCACAATCTTGCTGGCGTAGCCGGCCCCCTTCAGCAGCTCGGGCAGCAGGTGCTCCTCGTCTGGGACGCCGCCCACGATCTCCTGCGGCGTGTAGGCTGCAAGAGCAACGCAGGGTGTGCGCACACGGAGCTGGCTCCCTTTGCTTCCTACTCTGGAGCACGACTGTCCCGGCACACTTCCCGCTCTGAGCCCCAGCTGCTGGGCAGCCCCAGGGACAGGAACGCAGCCGGGAAGGAGTGGTGCCTGTCCAGCCTGTCCTCGGCCAAGCAGCCGCCGGGAAGGAGCCCGACTCTCCACCGAGGCCCCGAGAAGACCAGCACTAAGGCCACCTTCCTCTTCACTTACTTACGACACACGGTTTCTGACGGAGGCCTGCTCTAAACGATGGGCTACACCCACACGGAGCCTCTGAGACTCGGGAACGAGCTGGTGCTCGCTGAGCCGGCCCGCAGAAGCCGGGTCACACGTGAGGACGGCGGCAGACACCCCCACCCGCCCGGCCCCCCTCACCGTCCGGTGCCATGGGAGCTGCCCGCGAGTACCACGTACCGTTTCTTGCGTGCCCGTTGGTGGTGTAGAAGCCGCTGCGGATGGGCAGGCGTCCCGTGAGCAGAGCTGCCCGCGCTACATGGAGGAAACAGAAACGTCACGGCCTCTGTGAGGCTCCTGCTGGCGTCTCCAGAGAGCCTGGTGGGCACAGCGCCTGGCACGGCAGCTCTCGTGCCCCCCCACCGGCCTTCCTTCTCCTCCTTGGGGGAGCACGTAAGGAGTCTCCCCAGCACGAGTGGTTGTCCTGGGAGGAGGGGGCGCTTGTCCTGAACCACCCACAGCCGCTCTGCTCCGGGAAGGAAAAGCAGGTGCCATGAGCAGCGACCTCTGCCCCCAAACCCCTTACATGCTCCGTGCTCTTGGTGGCCTGTGGCAGCATGGAGTCCAGGTGCTCCAGACTGCTGGGGCCCCGATGGGAGAGGGTTAGGGCCGCACCCGCCTGCCGGCCCTTCTGGTGCTCTGCTTGGAAGGAAGATGGGTGGAGCCCGAGTCCTGGTCCCCGCTCCTTGCGCCCACGGGCCAGCCACAACTTACATGGTGAGCACAGCGGGTTGGCTGAGTAGAAGTTTGGGAAAAGCATCCCTTCTGCAGCCATCTGGTCCAAATTCGGGGTCTCTCTGGAAGGTTCTCCATATACCCCCAGGTCGCCCCACCCCATCTGCAGAAGACAGCATGGAGAGATCGAACAAGCCTACTTCCGTCTTGGGGGAGACGTGAGAGATAAGCCAAGAGCTGCCCGCCTTGCGCCCCACAAGCCACAGAGCTCCCACCACACCCCCGTGCCTGGCATGGGCTGCGGAGCGCCGTCAGCCGGCTTTGCTGTGTGCACCCCGCTCAGTGGAGATGCCCATGTGCTCGACTGCCCCTCAGCCTCTGATGCTAGCATCTCCGGGTCACGGGGAACCAGCAACTCAGAACACAAACCTACGTACCACATAAAGAAACAAGACCTCTGGGGCGCCTGGGTGGCTCAGTTGGTTAAGCGACTGCCTTCGGCTCAGGTTATGATCCTGGAGTCCCGGGATCGAGTCCCACATCGGGCTCCCTGCTCAGC